TTTAGTGATCATTAAAATGTGTTCAGAATTTGCATATTGATGACTATTTCATAAATCGTGAAACACTGATCTCCCTTACATAAGCTGCCCTTATAGGCTAAAAATATTTGTATTGGTATAGGGAATACTGGCTTGATATCAGATCAATACCAACATTTGCAGTACTGCACAGAACTAGCTGTGTTTGTCCGTTTTTGTTAGCTTTCAGTATGGATACACCCATAGATAAGATTTTTTTTGGCTATGTGGTTCTTCTATAAACTACACTCAATCCCAATGTGGGATATTGCTGTGCCGTCTCACATAGGGACAATGTGGGATAACATGGCCTCGCTGATTTCACCTATGGACACTTGACGCTTGGCCTCTGTAAATTAGTATGTGCACCACTAAATATACATTTCTGTAATATGCATAGCAGTTGGGCTCCTCTAAAAATGCGTTGTTATTCTCTCTCAACAAACCTTTTTAGTGTTGCATTAAAGTATCCCTGCAAGAATGGTGAGAGATTGGCTGAGTGACTGTCAGGTTTCCTCTGACTTTTTGACTTTGATTTTTCGCTTGGATACAAAAGACTTGCATGGCTCAACATTTTAATTTAGAACCAAACAAATGTAGCTTTCAAGAAACCCAGCTCCTTAACACTCAGGTTTATTGCAAAAAAAGAGGAAAAGGAAAATGAGTTACATGTTCTCATTTCAGTATCTTCTTTTTCTTTGTTACTTTTGGTGGCCCAGGTTTTCTTTGAGGCTGCTTCCTGGGCAGTTTGGCGACTTTAGCTGTGGTCTGTGCTTTGACTTTTCGGGATTTCAAGGAGTCTGCTTTGGATTTCTTCACTTTTGGATCTGCAGCACTCTTCTTTTCTGGTGGAGAAATGTTCTCTGGGCAGGACTTGAAGACGTGGATGCCCCGGACCTTCTGACCTCTGAGCTCAGGAGGGTGACCACAAGTTGCGGTCAGCTCCAAACTAACATTCTCCATCCACCTGAGCCACAGATACAAAGAGACAGAGTCAGTAAAGCTGTCAGTTCATTCTAACTGTAGTCCCAGGTAAATCTTACACCGACCTGCGCAGAGGAAGCAGAGAGCAGTCACAACGCAGTGGGTTGTCCTGCAGGTCCACAGTCTCCAGGCCGGTGAGTGGGCTCAGATCAGGAAACTCCTCCAGCTGGTTTCCTCTCACAGTCAAAGTCCGCAGCTCTGAGGCCAGCCCCAGCAGTGCATCCTTGGAGATCTGCACAGTGGTGCAATACAAAGAGTTGAAAAGAAAATTCTTTATCTTGAACAAGCCCTCAGTGCAGTGAATAATCAGCACATATTTTCACATAAACAGTACAGTCACGTTTGGACTAGATATTGGAAGCCTGGCTGGTGTTCAAATACTGACAATGCTGAGAAAACATAAACACGTTGCAAACGAACTTGT